CAGAATGTTTAACAAGGTCCCCTTCGATTTAAAGCTTTCGTGACTGCAGGGATTCATATTCTTGGTTCTTTCGGTAAAGTCACGCAGAAGGGAAACAATAAAATAATAAAAATATAAAACAATAAAATTCTTGCTGTGGTTTTCACACCTGATGACGATTGCTTGTGTTGCAGTCGAAACGTCGTGAGAATTGTATTGTTTTATATTTCTATTATTTTATTGTTTCCCTTCTATGTGGTGACTTCACCGAAAGAACCAAGAATGTGAGGTCCCATTCCTGGAGTAGACATCGGTGTTTCCGTAACCGTGAGCAGAGTGAGGCTCCCAAGTAACTATCGAGCACCGCGATTAATTTACTGGAAGCGTTTAGGGGGCGGCCGCCGTTTGCCCCAGGAGGATCAAGCATGGCCCGCGCCAGCACCCTTCTGCATGCAAACCCCCTTGAGCGGGAAAGTTAGGAGAGCTGTGCAATGTAGAATGGAGAGAGAGGGGGCGTGCGAGTCAACCAGTGAAGACCTTCCCCGTGAGTGCCTTTAAAATAGAACATGTATTAAATTATAACATAGAACATGTATTCAATTATAAAATGGACAGCGTGATGCGTGCTGTGATCGTGTTACGTGTAATGTGGCCCCAATTCGGTCGAAGAGGCAATTTCTGGTTTTAAATATGTCCACGGCAAACTTAATTTTGATCCTCAAAATTGAGTTTGTCGAAATTGGGCTCCTAAAGTTGCAGAGATAATTTCAGTCAACTAGATTTTCTTAATCTTAAAATAGCTATCTCGCAATGTCACAAAGCCGGGCATCACCAATCGTTTAAAAGTCACACATTCACTTTCTTCACTTTCTTTAGTTTGAGTTTGTCGTGCAGAGATAGCAATGTTACAAGAAAAATATGTGAAATTAAACAATCAGATAATGGCTCCTAAAGGCCAATGAGGGTTTTAATTTGACGTACTGCATGGGAGGCACAGAATAATTAATAAATCATGATGATGATGAATCCTTCTGGTGAGTTATGATGGTACGCAGTGGATCACACAAGTACATGAATGCATTACTCTGTCGTCATTTAGTAGTGCAATGGTTAGTGTGCTGCTCATAATCGGATGGGGTGTAAGTTCAAATCGTGGTAAGGGATCAACTTAGCGCTTCATCCTTTTGGGTGTCAAGAAAGAATACCACTTGGTGGAAAGTCCACAGTGATAGCCTGTTTGATATATTTTCCCCCTGCCATAAGAATATGGAATTTCCACCACTGGCTAAAATCTATAAAACAAGCAGTTTCAAACGCACACTTGTGTGAGTGGGAAGCCACTTTTTGAAGATTTGGCATTCGGGTGACCAGAGCCGTTCCCCAGGGCACATGGCCAATCAGGGCAACTGTCCCGGGGGGGCGGGGGGGGGGGACGTGCTTCGAAGTCACGGTGCCAGACGTAAACACTTCCGGTTTAATTTGAAGGCGTCGGGAGGGGGGGGGCCCACACAGCGTGATGTGCCCCGAGTCCCGCACACCCTCCACGGATGGCCCTGAGAGCATGAAATATATCGTAATACTTAAAGCTCAGAGAAAAATATGTGCCACTGCTGTAAGTCCGTGCAACATCTGTGGAAGCACAGTGTGACATATGCGAGGCAAAATTTATCTTGTTGAGGATGTAATAATCTGCAGCCGGTAGTGTGAAGGTGTTGGGCACAAAGTAATTGACTTGTAAATAAGCAATACAACTTAAGAGGAAGGCTGCTTATAACGCAATTGTAAACTACTTGGGGAAAAAACCTCTGCAGTCAAGCTACCACCCAAGCCAATTGGCATTAGAAGGCTACCGGTGTCACTCAGGAATTAAATGCTATTTTTCACTGGCATATTCCAATAAGTAGGCATATGAACCGTGTGCTGATGTATTTATGAACATTAAGTGGGGCCTTTTGTCAACGCTGTGATTAATGATCTGGCTGGAGCCCAGACCATTACATGAATCAAGACGGCAATCTTTCACGTCCCCTTTGCCACTGACGGAGAAGATTCGCAGGCTGAATTTCAATTGATCACTCTTAGCCGTTATTTTTTTTAAAGTAACGCTCACAGAATAAAAACGCCACCGGACAATTCCTGAACTTAGAACTCACTTCTACGTTTGAATTATTTAAAGCCCTTTGTCAATCCACTGCTGGATGAAGACCTCCCCCCCCCCCCACCCCCCCACACTGCGTTGTCACGGGGGCCGTCTGGCCATACTTCACCACGATGGTCAAAGTGGGTTATGGGGAAAGGGTTTGGGGCAGCACAAGTTCAGATACCAATCACCACCGATGGCCTGGGAATCGAACCCAGGCCACGTATAACACAGCGCGTTAACTGCGGTGACGCCGCTCCTCCTATTTGAGTAAGTGCAATTTATTTAGATAACAGTTACCGCATGCGATGCCAGTAGTGGGGGGTGGTGCAACCACACTTGACCACGCTGGTCAGTGTGAGATTGGTGACGGAGAAAGGACAGCACCGGTGCAGATATCGCTCTCGCCAACTGATGTTAGCCGTGGCAATTAAAACTCCAGTTTGCGGCAACGCGCACGCTAAATGTCCAAGACAACGTAACATCTCAATGTGTGTTCAACGAAAGGCTCTTGGGCCCACCGCATTACAGAACACTCACAGGGAGCTCTCAGTGCTCGACAAAAATCACGACACAAGCGTGAACGCCGCAGCTATACTTCCGCGCCGTAGTCATCCCGTCTGGGCGTCTGGCGCTTATTCTCCGGCTGGAGACCCCGTGGCGCTGGGAAGCACCGACGTGGAACTCGCCACTCGCACTGCGAATCGATGCCACCGGGAGTGCAAAAGTCCGCAAATGAAACATTTGTTGCAGGTTGTACGGCGCCCACAACCCCCCCCCCCATTTCATCCCGCCCCCACCCCCTTTAATTTTCCGCAAAATTAACCACGAGGGGGGCCCGCGAGTTACGGTCCCGACCCAACGGCGCGGCGGCAGACAGCGAAACGCATTTGTAAAATACTCCACACGCGACGCGGAAAGCCATTAAGCAAAGAATCCATCCGATGCATTGCAGCTCCAGTTAGGCCTCGGCAAGGTAAAAGGTAAAAAGCAACGAGCCTACCTTTACCCTACCTTTTACCTTACCACAATACAATCACTCTACCTACCTTTTACCCTTCAGCAGGTAAGGTAAAAGGTTAAAAGCAACGAGCCTACCTTTACCCTACCTTTTACCTTACCACAATACAATCACTCTACCCTACCTTTTACCCTTCAGCAGGTAAGGTAAAATGTTCAAAGCAACGAGCCTACCTTTACCCGACCTTTTACCCTTACCCCATACAAATTACCCGATTACAGGGCAATTACTGGGGTACTACTACACATGCAGGTAAACGCTAGGTAGAGCGCTTTATTCATATAGAATACTCTCAATGATTCCAACTTTACACGCTTTCTTTTAACTCACTGTTGTTGTCGTTGTTGTATCCTCAAATCTTGTAACTCAATTTTAACCCACGTCCCAATGTGGTATCGACTGCAAACTTGGTATACGTATGTCATACTTATGACAATACTATATTCTATCATTAAAAATAAAATAAAAATATTTTTAAACATTATTTCTTATACGTTATGTTTCGGCTTGGGTCGAACTGTCCACGCTCAACTGACGTTGGCTGTAATTGGCCACGGTCCCTTACATTGTGGCAAAGATTCGGGGCCACTTCATGGAGTCGTGGAGTTCTGCCATTACTAGTAAATTTAATAAGAGTGTCATTTAAAAAAAAGTTTTGTTGAAAATATTACTTATTAAATGGAGGCCACGGACTGCGCCACGGAGCTTTTAGCGGTAAACAAGGCACCGTATTTACCGGGTAATACTTCGCGCTACCTTTACCCTACCGGGTCATTCTTCCGAGCTACCATTACCCTACCCTTTACCTTACCCCTTGGCATGTCGACACCTTTACCTTTACCCTTTTACCCGGTAAAAAAAGAGGTAAATTACCTTACCTTGCCGAGGCCTAGCTCCAGTGTTCTAAGCATTACGACACGGAGCCAGCCGCAAAGCACAATAAACGCAGCATGAAAACTATTTCTCAGACCACTGAGAAAGGCTAGACTCGGCTGTTAAGAAAAAAACGTCGTCTAAGTTCGTCTTTTTTGACCTCGGAGCTGCTGTAAATCACTTGTTATTTTGCCAAGTGCACTGAAAAGCAAAGCCTGATGTCTCAGGGAAGCGAGAGTAACCGTGCCACGTTCTTGACCACCAATAGCCGAAGAAAATGAGCAGCGCTGCCACGGCATGAATCACTGTCCGCTTCGCCTTGCCGCTCCGTTGTGCTCGGGCAGGGCTGCAAACCGTGAGATCGCGAGTTGAAATCCCCGCCAGGGTCAACTCGGCCCCATAACCATCGTTCATTTGGGGTCAGCGAAGTGACCACCGCATGCCAAGGCTGCACCCATTGTCAAGGGCGCCGATTGGTTATTTACCGCTACCGTCGGGCAATATTACTTAGTCCATCCGTCTGTTCGACTATCCATCCAAGGACGTGATAATCATAAAACCCCAAGTCAATCTACATTCAACTTAGTACACCGGTTTTCAATGCCACTGCTCATATCTGTGTACATTCTGGACAAAATTGACAATTAAATCCTTTATTGGTTTGTCTGTAGTGCGATGTACGTGACTCTCATTGGCAGAGTGTGCGGGAAAGGTGCTGTCCCCCCATACTGTGCGGACCAGAGGGTCGCTTCTTGTAATCCCAAGAGGTAGCTCTGTGTTATCCGCTTCCGCGGGGCCATTCTTCTGACAAAAGGGGCAGCTGCGGGTGATCCGATACGATCATTGGTCTCATGACATTACGTCGAGAGCACAATCGGAAGAATTCTTGGGCCGAAGATAGATGGGAAAAAAAAAAAAAACTAGGCCGCACAAGCGGAGCGCGCCCGTCGCCTTTCGAAGTCGAACCGCCGCCGCGCGTTCACGTACCCGTGGCCTCGTCGGGTGCACGCGGCGCCTCCTCGCGCTGCTGCCGCGCTGCCTCCTCCATCTCGGGCACGTAGAACTGCACCTGCTTGGCCAGCGGGCAGAAGTAGTGGATGACATCGTCCCAGTAGATCTCCACCCAGGGGTGCGCGCACAGCTTGCGCTCCTGCACGCGGACACACACGCGCGTTCAGATTGCTGTACCGTGACCACTGGCCATGCAACGCGACGCGCCGATTCGTCGAATGAGCACAGGTTCGTATGGCCACGACTGGAGGTGTATCTCGACTCGCCCATCCTGGAGACTCCGCGATTTGTCAACGGTCAGCGTTAACATTTATTTTAGAAACTCGTTTTTTTTTAATTGCGGCGGATATAGCAGCCACTCGTGGCTGCAGGGATCATGTGAACCTGTTAAACACAATGTAAACAAACCATGAAGATATGTTCTTTCATCAGCGATTTGATGCAACATATCAGAAGGCTTAAGAATATAACATTGATTGACCGATACATCGTTATACCCCCACTCACAATATACACATCGATTTATGCATGAGCATTGAGATATTTACTTATTTAAGCAAATATTTACACTGGCATTAATGGAAGGAAACCTGTACAAATTAGACTGAACAAATGAGAAACAATACAAACGAGAGAGTACAACCTAGGGGTAAAACGATCCAACTGATTCATCAAAATTGAGGTGCTGAAATGAACCATGTGTGTAAGATTCTATTATTTTTTATTCATGTAGCTTGAACGTTTCGGCCACCCCGGCTACCGCTGCAGGCCCCTATATTCATCCTGAATTATGACCTCGAATCATCACAATTCATTGACCTGTGGGAAGTGGAAGGGAATGGGGGGGGATCATTACAGGGCCGAGTAAAAACGAATCCTAACTCAGAATTGCAACGCAACCCCCACCACCGACATCCCTGGCACGGTGGGTCCGCAGAAATGCTTATGAACCACTCGCTGCCTGCCAAGCGACCACGCTGTGCATCAAGTGTTACAGTCGGAAAAGGGCAACGTGAGTAATTGGGCACACATCCCAGGAATGCAGGTCAATGGCAGCCCCCTCCAAAAGCCGTGTAAAATCACCTGAATTACTGCGGTGGCCATGCCCTTGTCATCTTAGAGGACTCTAAAAAGTTTGGGAAACCTACGAGAAGTTTGGGAGGTTTTAAAGGCCTCTGGCTTTCTGAGATGCGGGTGTGGGCTCGAAGTGGCGGCTGTCAAAAGCGTTACGATTGAGCGTTAAGTAACCGGCGGCAATTGCCGTGCTCTACGATTGATCCGCATGCCCTTTGGCCCATTGTGGTCTCGGGTGTGTGTGCATGCCGGCTGGCCGATGGTAATAACGGCCACGAGTGAAGGGGTGCTCAATCATAATCCGACTGCACAAGTTCTCAGGTTAGCCTATGCATCACACAACACGATACTTTGTCCACGGCCTCACGCAGGCAAGCCGGTGCGTGGGCCACCTGTCCCACTTTTCCCAGGATCGTCGTCCTGTTCAGGGTTGCTGTCCTGGGAAATCTGAGTCTTCCACGGGTCACAAAAAGTCAAGTGTTGATGTTGTTGTTTTTGCTGCCAGTTGCATAACAATACGGCACGCAATACAAGCCATTAACAAGTCGTTCTTTCCTTCTCTGGTACAGAGATATTCTTCTCCCTATGATACGATGGCAACCCTTGCCAGTGGCAATATTGCACCCACACAGCTGCACACACATTATTCACGCAGACACTAGCGCGCTATTGGACGGTTATTAAATTCAGAGAGTGCGCAGGATTTTCTATATATACACACACACTCAAAAACACGTAACTTGTGCTCAATTGCTATTTACAGAGTATATATATTAGAAAAAAAAGTGAATTCATAGTGTCAAATTACTGGGCGGTTTTCGAGCTGCTATCATTTGGCTGAAACTAGTTTGCCAAAACAAGTCTGAGGCTGCAATTTTTTTCTGCTTTGCCAAGTAATTAGTAATTGTTATTGAGTGTTTAAAGCAATGTCTACACTTATTATAAGGTCCCATACATCCGGCCAGATAGTGTGTTTTGGTCTGAATATTTTCACCGATTCTAATTTGACACCGTATTTTACTGTTGTTAACGTGGTTACTGTGGCTAGTATCCTTGTGTTTACTTGATGTTCCCACCGCATTATTTTATATAAATAGCTGTTCTTGTACAGAGCATAGAGAAGCTCCTCATATTAAGACTATGTACTAATCTAAATAGTTATTATATGTATGACGTATTTAAAGTTGCCGCTGTATAAACAGGCGTAAACATTTCCATTTAGTATTAATACATACAGTAAAACCTTGGATTGCGAGGAACTTGGTCTGTGAGTGTTTTGCAAGACGAGCAAAAATGTTCAATAAATATTAATTTGATAAACGAGTGAGGTCTTGCAATACGAGCAGTACGTGTACGCTTCGTCTGCCGAGCGTCACGTGATCACAACTGATATACGAGTGCTTTGATATACGAGTGCTTTGGATTACAAACACGATTCCGGAACGAATCATGCTCGCAATCCAAGGTTTTACTGTAGTTATTTTTTAGAAAGATTTGAGCGAGTAGACTGGTAAAGGAATTGGAGGTGACATTGCACTAGAAGCGTGTTTCACAGAGACAGTCGGCAATAACGCAATTCACGGGTCCCGTCGTGAAAGCTATTCGTCCTGTAGCCCTCGTTGGCTGTCGCTTGCCCTCTTGTGTGAAACGCCGTGCAATGGGAACCGTTCAGAAAAGTGCCGGTGCGCACGCTCGACGCCCCGAAAAGTTCCTGTCGTGGCGCACCGTCGTATAGCGGTGCATTCTAAATTTTAAAAGACAGTCTAAAGACAGTTGAGATGGTTGTGGACTTCAGGAAGAATACAGCACCACTCACCCCCATCACCCTGTTAGACTCCCCAGTAAAAATTGTAGAGTCCTTCCGCTTCCTGGGCACTATTCTCTCCCGGGACCTCAAGTGGGAATTGAACATCAGCTCCCTCACCAAGAAAGCTCAACAGAGGATGTACTTTCTACGGCAGCTGAAGAAATTCAACCTGCCAAAGACAATGATGGTGCAATTCTATACAGCGATCATTGAATCCATCCTCACCTCCTCCATAACCGTCTGGTACGCTGCTGCCACTGCCAAGGACAAGAGCAGACTGCAGCGTATCATCCACACTGCTGAGAAGGTGATTGCCTGCAATCTACCAACCCTCGAGGACCTGCACACGACAAGGTCCATGAGGCGAGCGAGGAAGATTATGGCCGATTTCTCCCACCCTGGACACTCTCTGTTTCAGCTACTCCCCTCCGGCAGAAGGCTTCGGTCCATCAGGACCAAAACCTCACGCCATAAAAACAGTTTCTTCCCATCTGCTGCTGGCCTGTTAAACAAGGCCAAGGGCTAACACTGTTTTTAACATTTGATCTACATAACGACACCTTGCCGATATTAACTATGTTACCCTATTTGTATTTTTTATTTTTAAATTATATCTTAAAGCTATTTTATATTCGATATGTATTTAATTTTATATACTTCAGCCCCTTGGTGTTAGACTTTTAACCCTTATTATAGTAAGACTTGTTTAAAACTTATTTAAGATTTTAGATTCCTATATGTTGAATGTATGCACCATCCTGCCAAAGTAAATTCCGTGTCGGTGTGAACTTACATGGCGAATAAAACCCTTTCTGATTTGTCCAACCGCTGCGAGCAGCCAGAGAATTGGTTACTCGCATTTTCTCACACCCCAAGAAACAAAAAAACCCTCAAATGCATTAATCGATTGACCCGGCCATTGCGTTCAGTGCCAGCTCCCATCGGCGTCCAACCGTCAGGACGCGCTCGAGCCAAGGCCCCTGGATCGAAGCGCCCGGCGGTAGAAAGCTGCGCGCACGTCGAGTCGTCGCGTCACATCACCGGGGCGGTCGATCGGGCTCCGCCGGCGAAGTGCCACGGCGCAGACGGGGCGACGGCGTGCGCGGTCGCGTTCTCGCCGCCGACACGCTGCTGTGCCGCCATCGACCCAGATCCGGCTTGCGCGAGAGAAGCCGGTCGGGCCAAGTGCCTCGGTGGTAGTAGAGCGAGCGGCTCGCAATAGTGTCGCGGTGGCAGAATGTTAACCATCTCGCCTGGTGTGCAGGAGGTCATGGGTTCTTCCGACCCTGACGCCTGCATATTTTGAGTTTATGCATTTTCGCTCCCTCACCGTGGTCACGTGGATTTTTCTCCGGGTCTTCCGGTTTTTCCATCCACATTTTGAAACAAGCGTTTAAGAGTATTTTTGCTGCTATAAATTTGCACGTGATAAGCCACTTCGTTGAGCTATCATTTGTGATAGCCAGGTCGCTTCAGAAAAAGAGTTATATAGCTCAGTGGGCCTTACCTGGTGAAATAAAAGTAGTAAGTCATTGTAGAAGGTTGTCAGTTTCAATCTTGGTTGGGGGCTGATTCAGCCCATCATCCCTCCGGTGTCAATTAAAATGTGTGCCACTTCGTGGGGAATTTAACGCCGGTTTTCCCACGGACAGACTCGCCCCGCCATGGGAATGAGGAATTTACACTGGCGGCTCACAGCTGCAAATTGGAAGAGGAGCAGCGCCTCGAACGCTTGAGCAGGAAATCACTTCGGACTTTTTAAAAGCAACGCCGAGACTGAAGAGTCACGATCAGTAACCAGCGCTCAAGGCAAATGCCGTGGGCCGTCAATTCTCAAAGAGATGACTGTCATTTATTCCTGCTGCCCAATTTATATGTAACTCCAAAACCCCGGTGAAAGCCACGTCTTCACAAGGGCAGCGGTATCAATATAAATGAACTCAAGCGCCAATTCGCCTTTAAAATAAATCGTTTTCCTTGCCTTTGGCCATCAAGTACTTGCCTCTATCTCGGCGTCATTCAAATGCTACGCAATATCAATTTGCCAAGGTTAATGTTAATCATCGCAATCATCAGCCATCGTCTTCCCACCACTCAATAAAAAAAGGCCTCGCCACGCCATCTCCACCGCGCTCTTTCAAGCCGTCTCACTCTGGCGCTCGAGTGGCTCGCTCTCGCTCAGTGTAATTCAGGGCATGCGTCTCTCCGTGCCTCTTTGCACGCTCTCCGACATGTGTTACATCCTCTGATCCATCCCT